AATACCTTCTTTGTGCAGCATTCCCCCCCAGCTTCCCCTAATACTCCCCTAAGGCCCCTCTCGATCCAGCGATGTGCACGGGAGTCCTCGGCTATGGATTCCCTCTACTCATTGGCTGAGCCAATGGCTCCCGCTGCTGTTAATCACACACATAATGAGCCAATGAGAAGAGAGTGGGGGTAGGGCTGAGCCATGGCTTGCTGTGGGGGCACCCGACAGGAAGGAGGGGCCAGGATCACCTGCGGGGGACCTAAGGAGGATCTGGGCAGCTCTGTGTAAAACCACTACACAGAGCAGGTAAGTATGATGTTTTTGTTATTTTTTTTTTAATGTAAGCCTTTAGTATCACTTTAAGTGGTTTTTGTTATTGTTTACATTGTACTTTTATTGTTATTGCTTTGAACAACATCCCTTTTTTGATAGCATTGTGCTGTGACAGGTCAAGCAGCATGGTCCATGGTGACTGACCAGTTATGGACCATTGAAGAAAAGACACTCTGTAAAATTCTTGCGTTAATGGTAACCTTTTGATCTACACCATCCCCTTGGTGTCCTCCACTACTGCCACTGTGGTAAAGTTTGTGCAAATACCTGCACCTACAGAGGACCTAGACCAGTCATTTTCAACCAGAGTTGCATGGAACCATAGGATTCCTCCAGAGGTTTGCTAGGGGTTCCTTGATCTGTGGTTGATTGTCGTTTTGATGATACTTGCAAAGTTACAGTTCCAACTTGGCAAAGCCAGCAGCATGACACAAATTTATTATTCAGGCTGTCTGTAATAGTGTCATTCTGACAAGCACTGTATTTTCTTACTGACCATTTTTTTAGAGATTCTGTATATAGCCCTACAGAACAGACAGAGCTCAGTCCACATGTGTTTATCTGCTGCTTCTCTGCTAACAGGAACTTTATTAAAGAGGAAAGACATAGAGTTCTATCACAGATGCAGCCCATCTGTGTCATGTGATTAGCCGTGGCCAATCATAGCTAAATCACAAAAAAAAAAAAAAACCTGATTTCATTCAGTTAAATGCTTGCTTATAGCAGAGAAATTCTTTGCTATAATAATCAATCAAATTGTGTTAAAAAAAAATAAAAAATACGGATCATTTCCCCAAAGTAGTACAATGTTATTATGGTAACATTATACTACTTTGGTCATAGTGTAATATGAAAAAAAAATCTTAAAAAAAAGAAAAAAAATGTAAATAAACAAAATAGAAACAATTGGAAAAAAATTATAATTTTTTTTTTCTACCATCACCTGTCAGTGTCCCTGATCACTGCCACCACACCAGTTACAGTCATGGCCGAAATTGTTGGCACCCTTGATATTTTCCTGAAAATCAAGTATTTCACACAAAAAAGTATTGCATTAACACATGTTTTTTGCTATACACATGTTTATTCCCTTTGTATGTATTTGGAACAAATATAAAACAGAGGCAGAAAAGCAAATATGACATAATGTCACACAAAACCCCCAAAAATTGGGCTGGACAAAAGTATTGGCACCCTTAACTTAATATTTGGTTGCACACCCTTTGGAAAACATAACTGAAATCAGTCGCTTCCTATAACCATCAATAAGCTTCTGACACCTCCTCACCCGGAATTTTGGACCACTCTTCCTTTGCAAACAGCTCCAGCGTCTCTCTTATTGGAAGGACAAAGAACCTTTTCCAAACAGCAATTTTAAGATCTCTCCACAGGTGTGTTCAATGGGATTTAGATCTGGGCTCATTGCTGGCCACTTCAGAACTCTCCAGCGCTTCTTTGCCATCCATTTCTGAGTGCTTTTTGACGTATGTTTGGGGTCATTGTCCTGCTGGAAGACCCAGGATCTTGGACGCAAACCAGCTTTCTGACACTGGGCCCTACAGTGCGACCCAAAATCCTTTGGTAATCCTCAGATTTCATGATGCCTTGCACACAGTCAAGGCACCCAGTGCCAGAGGCAGCAAAACAACCCCAAAACATCATTGAACCTCCACCATATTTTACCGTAGGTACTGTGTTTTTGTTCTTTGTAGGCCTCATTCCGTTTTCGGTAAACAGTAGAATGATGTGCTTTACCGAAAAAGCTCTATCTTGGTCTCATCTGTCCACAAGACGTTTTTCCCAGAAGGCTTTTGGCTTACTCAAGTACATTTTGGCAAACTGTAGTCTTGCTTTTTTATGTCTCTGTGTCAGCAGTGGGGTCCTCCTGGGTCTCCTGCCATAAGCGTTTCATTTCATTTAAATGTCGACGGATAGTTCGCGCTGACACTGATGCTCCCTGAGCCTGCAGGACAGCTTGAATGTCTTTGAACATGTTTGGGGCTGCTTATCCACCATCCGGACTATTCTGCGTTGCAATCTTTCATCAATTTTCCTCATCCGTCCACGACCAGGGAGATTAGCTACAGTGCCATGGGTTGCAAACTTCTTGATAATGTTGCGCACTGTGGACAAAGGCAAATCTAGTTCTCTGAGATGGACTTGTAACTTGAGATTGTTGATATTTTGCCACAATTTTGGTTCTCAGGTCCTCAGACAGTTCTCGTCTCCTCTTCTGTTGTCCATGCTTAGTGTGGCACAGACACAGACACACACACAATGCAAAGGTTAAGTGAACGTCTCTCCTTTTTATCTGCTTTCAGGTGTGATTTCTATATTGCCCACACCTGTTACTTGCCCCAGGTGAGTTTACAGGAGCATCAACATGCTTGTAACATTCTTATTTATCCGCAGTTTGTGAAAAGGGTGCCAATACTTTTGTCCAGCCCAATTTTTGGAGGTTTGTGTGACATTATGTCGAATTTGCTTTCTTTCCTCCCTTTTTTTGTTTTGTCCCAATACACACAAAGGGAATAAACATGTGTATAGCAAAACATGTGTTAATGCAATACGTTTCGTGAGAAATACATGATTTCCTGGAGAAATATCAAGGGTGCCAACAATTTCGGCCATGACTGTATATGCTGATGCTGTAATGTACTGGGTGAGAAGTATGTAAAAACAAAATTGTGAAAATTTTTTTTTTAATTTCTTCATTTTCCAAAAAATTATGACAAAAAAATTACAACTTCAAAAAACTTGTCATGCCTCTCATGAAATACGTCGGACTGTCTACTTTGCAAAAAGGGGTCATTTGGGGGATATCTGTACTGCTCTGACATTTTTGGGGCCTCAACAAATTAGATTGGCTGTCAGTACTTCAGGATTGATCAATTTTCAGATATATCCCATAGTTTGTGAACTCTATAACTTTCCTACAGACTAAATAATAAATACTGATTTTGGTTATTTTCACCAAAGAAATGTAGCAGAATACATCTCGGCCTAAATTTATGAAGAACAATTATTTATTTGCAAACTTTTATAACAGAAACAAAGAAAGATGTGGATTTTTTTCAAAATTCTTGGTCTTTTTCTGTTAATTTTAGCAAAAAATAAAAACCTCAGTGGTGATTAAATACCACCAAAAGAAAGCTCTAGCTGTGTGAACAAAATCATAAAATTTTAGTTTGGGTACAGTGTTGCATGACCACGCAATTTTCATTCAAAGTGAGAGAAAATTGGCCTGGGCAGGAAGGGGGTAAAAGTGCCTGGTATGGAAGTGGTTAAGCACTCATTTGACACCTTGTACCAGAGACTGCTGCTGACTGATTTGTGACTTGCTATATATTTATTTCTCTATTTGTTGTGATTATTGTCACCAAGACAGAAGATTATGGTAAATCCACAATTGTACAGTAAGCAATGAGGGTAAATGTCCCAAAGAGGACACCTGTTCCAGTGACAGCTGTTCAAGAGGGTAATTCACATAACTTTTAAAAGATTGATTTCACTTCCTGTTATATCTTCAAAACAGGAAGGAAGGAGGGGAGTAAATCTTCCTAATGGGACACCAAAAGATAAATTGACAGGTGTTTAACTTTTCCTGCTCTTTTCAAAACACAAACTTCAAAACTAAAAAACATTACCTTGCCTATACATACATTTTAACCACTTGCCCTCCAGAGGATTTATCCCACAAACACATGCAGGCTCCATCTTCGCAACATTGCCAAGATACGCTCCTTCCTCACCCCAGACACCACCAAACTTCTAGTACACTCCCTCATCATCTCACGCCTTGACTACTGCAACTCCCTCCTCATTGGCCTACCCAAGTGCAGGCTCTCCCCGCTCCAGACCATCCTGAACTCAGCTGCCAGACTCATCCACCTCACCACCCACTCCACCTCTGCCACCCCCCCTCTGCCTCTCCCGTTCACAACACTGCCCCTGACTACCTCACCAACCTTATCACCAAGTACCACCCTACCCGTACCCTTCGCTCCTCACAGGACCTCCTTCTATCCTGCTCCCTGGTCTCCTCCTCCCATGCACGACTGCAGGACTTCTCCAGGTCCTCCCCCATCCTCTGGAACTCACTGCCCCAATCCATCAGACTGTCGCCTTCCCTATTCACATTCAGGCGCTCCCTCAAAACCCATCTCTTCAGGGAAGCCTACCCCACCCTCACCTAACGGCCATCCTCCCTCATTCCTCCCACCACTTCATCCCCCTCAGCCACTTCCTACTGTACCTTTTACCCCCTCCCTCCTAGATTGTAAGCTCGTAAGAGTAGGGCCCTCTTACCCCTCGTACATTGTTTGTTGTTGTTGTACTGTGCCATGTATTGTCCCCCCTATTGTACAGCGCTGAGCAAACCCTTTGGCGCTATATAAACTCGTAGTAATAATAATAATAATAATAATAATCCCCCTTCCTGACCAGGCCATTTTATGCGATACGGTGCTGCATTACTTTAACTGACAATTGCGCGGTCATTCAACGCTTTACATAAATTAAATTTATGTATTTTTTTCCCCACAAATAGAGCTTTCTTTTGGTGGTATTTGAGTACCTGTATGTGTAAAGACTGACAATTTTGAAAAAAAAAACAATATTTGTAAAATTTGTATTCATTTATTTATTTTTTACTAGTAATGACAGCAATCAGCGACTTATTGCGGGACTGCCGCAGGCATTCTGACACTGAGGGGGAACTGACTAACTTCCACTGACATCCCCAGTGACATTAATACAGTGATCAGTGCTAATAAAAAGCACTAACACTGTACTAATGACACTGGGCAGGAAGGGGTTTACATGTGGGGCGATCAAAGGGTTAACAATGTGCTGTGTTGTGTTTTACATAGTGTGCTGTGTTGTGTTTTACATGGTGTGCTGTGTGTGATTTACTAGGGCGACAAACTGCTTTGTATTGCTCTGCTGTGCTGAGCAATACTAAGCAGCCTGTTCATGCTGACAGGGGAGAGATCTGTATTGTTTACATACAGACCTCTTCTCTGTCAGCTCCACCGATGATCACCGAGTCTAGGCTGAGAATCAGCGGCTGGGACCTTGTGGTTGACATGCTGAGAATCCCAGAAATGCAAAAACATGTATATATACGTGATTGTGCGCATCCCCGCCATCCTGTAACAGTACTTCTGCTATAGGGCTCTCGGGAAGCGGTTAACGGATTAGGCTATATGAAGCTCTTGACAACACTGATCAGGACACACATATATGATTATGTCTGTTTGTTTCCAGTCTGCACTGAATTTGTGGCAGCACCTAAGAAAAGTGATAGATGATAAAGGACCTATCTGAAAATCAAATTCACAGTCTATCATAGTCATTAGGGCATATAGAAGCATCCCAAATGCAAATAGTAATTGCTTGTCATGAATTCAGAATTGCTGCTCTCAATCGGACTTATGTAACCTAGACCTAGGCCAACCATGCTAATCATTTTAAAGAGCGAGGGCCACTTAAATGATATGGTAACCAGTCTCAGGCCACAATGAAATGAAATGGTTCAGAATTTCGAATTGTTTATTTTGAATAGCATAATGAAGATTTTAAACATCAATCAGGATCATCATTTTTCATAGGACCAATCCCTATTTGATGAAACATAAGTAGATATGGTGGTGTAGCGCTAATACCATGTGATAATTGACATAAAAAATTAATAAAGGACTCGATATTAAATGGGTGAATACACAAATTATATGAATAAATATACAGGTGTACAGTGGTGCACATAATGTGTATCCCAAAAACATGGCATCAAGAATGTGACTAAATATAAGTGATTTAAGTGAAACAAATATTAACCAAATATAAATACATGTGATCATAAATGAACAATATTCATATAGCACAAAGTCGCACACATATAACTGTGATGAATCAATCTTCGACCGTGAAAATTAATACGTGCTCAAGTGCATCAGACCATCTGTCACCGTCTAGCGTGCACACTTACCTCAAATCAGACCCTCAAGGAGCCATAAGGCATAACAAATCACCAGTTAGTTCCAGGTGGGATGAATCTCACTCTCTGGATGGACACAGGATCAGCTTCCACACAGCCCACGGTTAATCAACCATTACAATGGTAAGGCACCTTTACAAAATTCCTCCACTCTCCCAATGGCTCATAAACAGGGAATCAGAGAAAAAGCCACCATAGTGTAATAGAGTCAAGTTTGTTATACCATACACTAATGCCAAATACCTACTCACACATTAAAATCATAGACCAATCAGGCATAAACTGTATAACCCACAGACAGGGTGCTTGCATAGGGAGTCCAAAGATGGCTGCCTTCCATGCGTAATTGCATCACCACACTCTAATCCAACATGTTGCGTCACGATAGCACGTGACGTCTCCCAGGGGATCTCTATTTTGTGCAAACACAAATAAGTGGAAAAAGCAGTGTGACAGAGAAATGAGCTTATCAGTGTGATACCTCTCCTTTGCTGGCTAATCACAGGCTGAGGGCAGGGAGGAGACCTGTACTTGTTACTGAACTGCAACATCCAAAAATCAAGTCTTTTGCTCTCCTACTCTGTCAGACAAGACTGTGCTGTGTGCTAAGATGTGCAAATCCTGAACTAAATTCACAGAAACACAAATCTTTCTGGTCCTGCTACCTGTGTATTAGCAATTTGTCTGGAGTTCAGCTTTAAAGTGTTACTAAACCCTCAACAGTAAAATCAGTCTGTATATGCAGTAAAGCATGCTTGTTATATTCACTGTGGAACCTAAGGGGTTAATCCTCCACATTGTGTAAAAAGGCTGTTTGATCCTGATTTCTCTGATCCTCCCCTTCTTTCAGTGACCCCCTTTTATCTCATGATAAGACATATCATGTGGAGACATTCTGCACATACTCAGTTCGGTGTGTGTTGCTAAAGAGGTTTTTTTTTGTTGGGAGAGTGCATGTGATCACTATAACTAGTAATGGCAGCAATCAGCGACTTATTGCGGGACTGCGGTGAGCATTCTGACACTGAGGGTGAACTGACTAACTGCCACTGACATCCCCAGTAACACTAATACAGTGATCAGTGCTAATAAAAAGCACTGACACTGTACTAATGGCACTGGGCAGGAAGGGGTGTTTTACAGATTGTACTGTGTGTGACACTAATACAATGATCAGTGCTAATAAAAAGCACTGACACTGTACTAATGACACTGGGCAGGAAGGGGTGTTTTACAGATTGTACTGTGTGTGACACTAATACAATGATCAGTGATAATAAAAAAGCACTGACACTGTACTAATGACACTAATGACACTAATGACATGATCAGCACAGGGCCAATCAGCACTGTCCAGAGAGACCCCAGGGGTCCTGCATCCTCCCAGAGCAGAATCCACACATCAAAGGTATACCGCTCAGGCAAACAATCCAGATCAATCCACAACAGGTGCAGGCTCTGGCTCACCACCACACATGATGCAATAGGAAGAAGGGTCAGCCGTACACCGGAGGATAGATTAATATAGTGTATATTTATTGATCCATAGGACACACAAAACACTCAGTACTCATGTCCTGGTGTTTTGTGTGTCCTATGAATCAATAAATACACACTGTATTCATCTATCCTCCGGTGTGCGGCTGACCCTTTTTCCTAGTCCTCCTAGACTCTAGGACCTAGAGCAAAAAGAAAACTCCTCTTACAAGCTTTAACATGTGCTCTGTTTGACACTGATAGAAGTCACGAGACTGTTATGTACTGCTAATGAGAACAGGTATTTAGCAATTTACATTTACTAAAATAATTGTATGTCCATGTTGTGTGTACTGTGGGAGACCAGATAGAGTGAATGCAGGGTTATGGGTTTAGTAACACTTTAAAGCAAACAAGAATAGATTGATTCTCTACAGATGCTGGCCACAAGAAAATGTAATACAGAAGATTCATTATAAATAGTGAAGGTTAATTTGCTGTAGAAGTGCATATTCATAAGTATGATTCTTTTAATAAAATCAATGGAAATAACTAAAAAGTGCTATGGCATACAGCCAATTGGCAATAAACATATAGTTAATTTACAGCAATCCTCATATGGAGGGTTTATAAAAATGTTTAGGTAGGCAGAGATAGTGTAGGCAGTTGCAGCCACCCAAATAAATCAGGAACATGTTGTAACACATAATGATGCAGCAACAAGCCATATTTCATAGATATCTGTATCTTTTAAAACAGGGGTGTCAAACTGCGGTCATCCAGCTGTTGCAGAACTACAAGTCCCATCATGCATCTGCCATTGTAAGCTCCAAGGAGCAGGGCCTTCCTATCCCTCTTGTATTGAACTGTATTGACTCCCGTTATATTGTAAAGCACTGAGCAAACTGTTGGCGCTATATAAATCCTGTATAATAATAAAAATAATCCTTGTAACTGTTGCCTTGCAATGCCTCAACGGACTTGTGGTTTTAGGTATATAATGATTAAAGTTCAAGGGCAGTACTTTAAGCCCTATGTCATAAACTATGGGCAAACTCCACCTTTAGCAACATTTTACATCTATATTTAGGGTCTTGTAGCTCTCAGTTGAATACAGGTATGTTGATCACTCCTCCAGCTCTCCAACTGAAAGTCCATACAGAAGTATGGGCAGGATGCTAGAAGGAAAATTTGCTGGAGCCTGACATTGCACCCTTAATCCACTAATCACTGGTGCAATGCTTTGTGAAAAAAAAAAAAATCATATTTTTTCTGCAAAAAATATTTGCATTTATTATTTTTTTAAGGTGAACTTAAAGTGGAGTTCCACTCACTCTGTAAAAAAATAAAAGTCAGCAGCTACAAAAACTGTAGCTGCTGATATTTAAAAAACAGCCACTTATCTGTCCCACGATCCCGCAGTGTGTCCCTCGCAGCCCGTTTCACTGGCCGTCCTGTATTCCAGGAGGCTGGCATCTTTAGTGTGGGCACCCGGCTGTGATAGCTTGCGGCTTCACAGCCGGGTACCCACTGAGCATGCGCGAGTAGTGCTGCACTTCATGAATGGTCCTGTTGTCTTCTGGGACCTGTCACGTGTCCCAAAACACTACAGGGAGGGAGGACACCTTCCGCTTCTGGTCGCCTAGGCGTTCAGATTGGAAGTGGGAGCGGGTACCTGTCAAATTTGGGTACCCGATCCCCCCGCCCCACAAAGGTCCTTAATGGGGAGCTGGGGGCAAGTCCTTAAAGCAGAACTTCCCTTTTTCGGTGGAGCTCCACTTTCACCTATAACATTACATTATTCAAAACTGTTTCATAACAATGAATATTAATTACTACAATAGTCCCCCTAAAGAACATCTAATGCAATTTTTTTGGTTTGCTTCAGATAGAATGTAGAAGGGATAGAACCTTTTTTTGCTGCCCATGTTCCCACTGAATAAATTCACCCTCTTTGTTTGGTGACAATTGCCAGCATGAAAGAAAGTAATTAGAAATCCAAATTTTAACAGTTGTCACAATAAAATGACATCTTCCAGCAGCAAAATATGTTCCACAACTCTCCAAGAAGAAAGGAGATTTTCCCTCAAAGATTTCCCATGAAGGTATTGGAACACAGACAGTTAAAAAAATAAACTGACATGGATTGTAAATATTTTCTATTTTATACAAAAATAAAAATTAGATAAAATATTATAATATCACTAATTAAGATATTTAGCGCTTGAAGGTTTTTTTCATGCATCTCCTTATGTCCAGCTATTACCACGCGACTAAAGGATTACTTAAAAGGGCATTTTTTGCACCTGAACTAATTTTCATTCTTTAACAATTTAATTCAATAAATGTCACTGTAAAACAAAAAACAAAACAAAGCAGAAACAACTCAAAACACCTCATAATCATCAAATAATAACCTAAAAGCAAGTCAAAGCAACTCTAATACACATCAACAGAACATAAACACATTTTTGTGTTCAGTTTACTTCTGTGATTTTCCAAAGCAAAATTCCAAAGCTGTTGGCCCTCCAAAACCATAGT